GCCAATTTGGTATATCAGTACCCGCTTTTATTAACAAACAAACTTACTGTAATGGAATATATAGAAAAAACAGGTTTACATTTTAAACCAATATAGTTGTCTACAAATTATGACTAAAAATTATTTTTAACTATTTAAATCTATGTAATATTTTTTCAAATTTTTATAATTAATAAATTTATGCGGTATCGTACTATTTTTGTGTTTGGTATTGGGTCATATTTGTGCGGTAATGGAAAGCGCCGTTACTAGCAGACTCAATTAAATTAATAGAAACTGCGCGAAGTAAAATATGTGAAGTTAGTGGTACAAATGGCACTGATATTAACAAAAAAAATGTGAAGATATTTTAAAAAAAAATAATGGTTTTCATATTCTAAAGTATTATCCGGTGATGTATACACATTAGAAGGTATCCCAGAAGATTTGACCAGCAACGATTTGTTGCATTATAAATACGCACCTATTACATCCGTTGATGTAGAACGTTTCTTTTCACGCTACAAAAATGTTTTAACGGACAATCGACGCTCAATGCTGTTTGAAAACTTATACACATCATTAATTGTTCAATGTAATAACATCAGGTAAAAATTAAAATGTTTATCATCTGGTTAATGTTTTTGTTTTTTAATTTTTTAATATTTTTTAATATCACACATTTTTGTAAATCATTATCCATTGCCAATAAATAATAATATTGTATTATAGTATAAATTGTATAATACATAAAAAAATTAATCATTTAATCATTTTTTTACAATAACATTTTTTTAGAGCATATTTTAAGGGCATATTTTGGTAATTTTTAGGGCATAACTGCATACATATTTTATAGATTTTTAGGGCATATAATTGTTGGCCCTAGTAATAATTATACTTGAATATTTATTTTTAATTTTTATACNTCCTAATTATGACTAAGACAAGTTTGAACCAGTGTTTAAAACCCTAATCAAATAAAAAAATTAAACTATTGTATTCAAATTTCCTTATATTTTAACAGCTTAGAGATTTTCGTTTTGAGCCTCCCCTCCCCCCCTGAAAATGATCTCAAATATGCCACTGACCTACTTCTACTAATATCTTACTTCAAAGTTAGTCTATAGTACGAGTATGTGATCTCCAATTATGGAAAAATAGTATGATTATCTTATTTTTTTATACGTGTAATTAAAATATATTAATTTAATTATAACTGTGATACTATTAATTGTAAAGTACTTATTTATTATTAATATATTTACTTTAATTTAAAAGTTTTGTAACGGTACCTATAAATAAAATACCAAAGTCTACACTCCATACTCCATAGACCATAGTACAACAAACGGTCAACCCGGCATTTTTTCGGTATGGTCAATTTTATACAGCTTGATGGCAGGGCGATATAAAAACAAGTACTTTATTTAACATTATATTAACGTTTCTTTTCCATTTCAACCTACATGACTACATGATGTCTTCTTAATAAATAAATTCATTTATAATTATTAATTATTATTTATCGTATATTTGCTATCATAATTTTGTAGTTTCTAAAACAATACATTTAATTTTTTTATTTTGCACTCAAGTACATAATGCGAATCCCTTAAGCCTCGTTCACACGGTGACACTAATGAGTATGACACTAATGATATTGTGTGTCGTGACACTAGTGTCGTATATCTAATTTCGTTGATATTACGACACTGGTGTCATGCAACTGTCACCGTGTGAACGAGGCTTTAATAATCAACCCCCAAAAAAATGCCCAGAAAAATAGACCCCAAAATAAAATCTCCGAAAAAAAACCCCGTTAAAAAATAACCACGGAAAAAGTTACCATACAAAAATTTAATTGTGCCCCAAACAATTATTTTCACAAGATTGCAGATTCAGTCTACATAATGTATGATTAAAAAAATAAACAAATAGTAAACTTTTTAATCCATTATATGTCAGTAGTCATTAATACAAATTATCAAACAATCTCAGCTCTGGGTTAATTTTATTGAAGGTATGTATAAAATGATTCATCGTTGAATCCAATTTTAACAAAAAAATTAAAAATTGAAAATTCCCAATACATTTCCAAATGTTTTTTCAATAGTTATTTTGTTGTAATTAAAAAACAATACTTGAGCCTTGTGTAGTTGTGTGGACTTACACAGATAAGTTAAAAATATAAAATGATATAAAAATAAACTATTAAAATAATTAAATATGTTCATAATTAAATTCATATTTAACTCATAGTTATACTGCTGTTGATGAACAAGAATTAGAAAAAGATGGATTGAACACAAATCAATAAAAAAAAACGGGCAAGTGAATGTCGCTCTGTTGTACATAAGGTACCTAGAAGTTCACTGTAATGGATGGTATTAAATTTGAATTCAATGATATCATATCATTGTATACGAAAAACAATTCTAAGCAGACACGGCGTGTCAGTCTAGGATATTTTATATTTTATATTGTTATTACTTATTAATACTATAGTCAGTAAGTTAAATTAATAATATTCTTATATTATATATCAATGATGCTGGAAATATATAAAATATATAATGTAGAATTCGGCTGTTTTTTTTTTTGATCAAAGTAGGCAAACTTATAAGGAATCTTGTATTGAATTTTTAAATCTTAAATATAAAAAGAAACATTTTTCGAACTCGAAATAATTTGCTAATTTTCCTGATTTTTACGTAATTTGTCAAAATTCTAAATTCAAACCCTCATAAAAAAATTATTGTGGATTTACACTCTCAACTTTTTTTTAAATTTATACTAACAACTACTTACTCGGAACTTTGGATCACATTTTCAAGTTTTTTGACAGCGAAATAATTTTTATTGGAATTAGTTTTAAAAAAAAGAATAATCAACGAAAATTGTATACGCCTATTAATAATTCAATACGAGTCAAAATATTTTGAAAATGTTATGGTGTAAAGAAAATGCTAAAACAAACATTCAATGAAAATTTCATGTACTCGTATCTACGGTAATTTGTTTTAGATTTACACTTAAAACCAAAATTGATAATTTCGAAAACTAGTTTTTAAAAATTCCCGTTTTTTCTGTTGCTTTTTAAAAAACCTTTAGTTAATTTTAAATTTTGATTTCCCGAAAGCATCAACTAGATTCCCTTTTTTACCAGAAAAGGTGCTGTTGCAGAAAATCGAAGCACTTTTACGACCCCAAACCGTGATGACAGACACAAAAAGTAAGATAATTAAAAAACACACATCATTGTAAAATCAATACATTCATCGCTCCGCTCAGAATCTAAAAGGCTATGGAATGAAGCCATCTGGAAGTAATTCGTGAATTGTAATGTTGTATTGGTCAATAGTCATTAGTTGATAGTTTGACACTTGAGCAGTGAATTTGTAAGTACAAAGTATAACGTAATTATTAAAATAATTATATAATTATTCTGTAGATACCTAGATATTTAATACGACTTACTTGATTATAAAACAAACAAAATATAATAGTCACCTACCTAATAATTTATCGAATATTACGTTTATTTAAAATCAGTTTGTTACAGTTATTACGGATTTGTATCTACTATTTTTACATTTGGTAATATCTATATCGCTTGTTCGTTATTCAATGAACTCTCGAAGTAAACAGGTAGGTACCAGTTAAACGATAGTGAATATAAATTGGTGTCCTTGGTGTTGAGCACGGCTATAGATAATATGGTTACCCATGGTCCATTGATCCATGATTCCCATACTTGAAAAGTGTCTACCGAATTCATAGACCTTGTGCAATGCACGTAGTGATACTCGTGGTAGTTCCCGCGGTGAATGCGGCTAACGCTGATTGCGCGTAGACCACACCAGTTTATGTGTAGTTAACAGAGTGAAAAATACGTAATTAATAATAATTATGATCGTATTATACACTTTGATCATTGTTCGTCAATATTTCAATATTTCTTAAAAGTATAGGTACCTAGAAAATTCCCATCTTTAATTTTAATATAATAAATAATGGCTGTGGTTGAAATATTCTAAAAGAATTATGTCGAATGAAAAATGTGTGTGAACAATTATTAATGGTACTCTTATGATGGCATCACTAGACTCTGGCAGTACAAATTGCAATCACAGAATGAAATAATGCAAATTTTCCGTCACCGCTCCACCCAACCCTGCCAACCGTATATGTTCCACCTAATAGAATAATATATCTGTATATTATAAATCTTCTCTAATTAGTGGTATAAGACAGGGGAGGTCAACTGACGGCCCACTAGCCTTTTTTATCAGGCCCGAGCTACGTTTTCAAATTAAATTATTAACAAAATAAATGCTAATTATAATGTATATTTTGAATGACTAATTTTTCTTTTGTGGTTTCTACGCTCTGGCCCTCTAGATTTTAATTTTCTAAAAATTGGCCTTCAAGTAACTTTGAACTGCCCATTCCTGGTACTAGCCGTGTGCATAAAAAAATATTTTTGGGATGTGGGGAGGGGTTTTAGATTTTAGAGTTTTCCACTTTTACTCTATGAAAACGTATTTAATAATTTTCCTGAAATTTCAGGTTGGATAGGAGTTGAGTCCTAAACCACTTGTGTACGCGGCTCATAAGGTCGATGACCGAAATCACGGTAGATTATACTTTAATCTGCCGAGACAGAAATTAATAATATCTATTAATCAGTATTAAACAGTTGAATACTTGAATATCAGGAGCTAGTGCTAACGCTTAGCTATAATAGTAGCGCCCCCTGGCCACTGCAATTTACATTAGGATGGTAACTGATTTTATATTCACTATAACATACAAGCGCTAGCGCTGCGCTTTTCAGCTGTATATTATATTGATTTTTTTACGTAGTCCGTAGGCGGTGTAGAACATTCGCTGGGTAACCCGATTTTGAGTTTATGAAATCAAGGTTACCGTTTACTCCATGACAATCGCGGAGTATATTTCATGAAATTAGTAGATAACAATGTAATCAACAATCAACTATGACTATAATATACAAATTGTGTAGCTGAATCAAATTATCTGATTGTAAATGTTTCAATTAAAATAAATTAACAGTGAATGTGAAATGACAATTGACAATGAATATGTTTATTTTATAATTGAGTTTGTTCCTTAATATTTAAACAGTTACTTTTATCCGCGGCGTTTTGGTGGTTGGGTAAGTAAAACTTGTTTTCTAGCCTGGAGATGGTCTCCAAATCGTTTTCTAAATCGAAAATCGAGAAATTATTGTGTATACAATGTAATCCAACAAAATGGAAGGGGCTGTTGATCGGATCGTTAACGAAGATCGTCAAACAAGTGCACCCTTTACTAGTAGTCAGCGATGAAGCGTTGGAATGTGTCGAAATGCTAGTTGTACAATGTCTGGAGATACTCACCTTAAGGTCATCACCACCGTACACTGTATTCGACATCATAGATCAAGTGAAACGGTGGTTTCCTAAGCCATTAGACAAGTGGGCTATTAAGGATGCTACCGAGGCAATAGAAAAAAACAAGAAGAAACATCCTGTGATATTACCTACTGATAAAATTCATAATTTAATGCAAAAAGAACTACTTCAATACAAGTTAGATTATTCAGTGGCTCATTTCATGACAGCTGTTTTAGAATACATGGCAGCAGACATTTTAAAATTAGCTGGTAACTATGTTAATAATATACATCGTATAGAAATCAGTTACCAAGACCTCTGTGTTGCAATATGTGGTGATAAAGTATTAATGGATTTGTTTAGCCAGCATGACAACAATGGTGACTTGAATTTGTCTGAATTAAATATTGATAAAATCCAGAAAATTACTACTTATGAAGAAGTTGTAAGAGATCTAATGCATGATAAAAAACAACTTGTTAAAGATTTACATTTAATTTTAAAAATTTTCAAAGAAGAAATCTATCGTATCATTCCTGCAGGTACCAGTCAAGAATTGGATAATATGTTCAACAATATTGCAGACATATGTAATACTACTAAATTATTTTTAAATTCTATTGAAGACATATTGGAAATTGCAGATAATAAATTTGCTACAGTTGGTTGTTGTATTGAAGAGTTAGCTGAAGCCGCTGAATTTGATGTGTTTGAACGGTATGCAAATGATATTGTTAAAAAACAATGTAGGAATATATTTTGGAATTTAATCAGTAAACCAGAAGTTTCAAATTTACTTCAATCGACTAGATATGGTTTTAAAGAAGCTCTAAAATATTATTTCCCAAAACTATTACTTTTACCCCTATGGCATTGTATCCTTTATTTTGATTATTTTAGAATTTTACATCAACTTTCACCTAACCAACATGATAAAGAATGTTTGGAACAAGTAGAAGGCATGTTGAAACCTTTGCAATTAAGAATTACATCAATTGCAAATCAAATTAACTTAACGGATAATGTCAAAGAATTTGGACTTAAAATTACTGCAACGCCTAGACGGTTGATAGCTATAGAAAAACTGCAAAAAATGGAAAAAGCTATTGATGGCTGGGATGGTAAAAATATGGGTCAATGTTGTACAGAGTTCATAAGAGAAGGTGTACTTGTAAAAGTTTCAAGTGGAAGTAAGCAGAGAGGTAAGCGTTGTTCAGAGCGTAAAGCAATCTTATTTGATGGTGTTCTTCTTTTATGTAAATCAAATAGAAGAAGGACTTCTGTATCAGTCAACTCTCAATTTGTTGGTGGTTTGTCTGAATTCAAATTCAAATTGAAAGAAAACTTATTTATTAGAAAAGTGGAAATTTTTGATAGAGATGATACAGAAGAGATAAAAAACTGTTTTGAAATAGTCCCTCATTTACAGCCACCAGTCATATTAGTTGCCAGTACTTTTGAAGATAAATCTAATTGGATGGGAGATTTAATTATGCTGAACACAAAAACCATACTAGACAGAACTTTGAACAATATACTACTCGATGAAGATAAACAATTTCCCTTACAGTTACCATCAACTAAAGAATACAGATTTGTTGAACCTGATTCTAGATCAAACATAATTTTTGAAGAAAAAGAAAATAAAGGTGTACCTCTTATTAAAGGTGCTACATTGCTGAAACTTATAGAACGATTGACATATCATATTTATGCTGATCCAAAATTTATAAAAACATTCTTAACAATATATCGCAGTTTTTGCACACCTCATGATTTAATGGATCTCCTAATTGAACGGTACAACATTCCTGAACCTTTTGGTATAACTATGAATTCAGTAAATCTTCAAGATGAAACTAAACGATTTAAAAAAGAATATTTAGTACCTGTTAAATTTAGAGTGTTAAATGTGTTTAGGCATTGGGTCATCTATCACTATTATGATTATCAATGTTATCCATATTTATTAGATAAATTGTATGCATTTTTAGATTCAATTAATGAAAAATCAATCAAAAAATGGGCGGATTCACTAATTAAAATAATTCATAGAAAAACTTCTGAAGATCAAAACGAAATTAAGTTTGAATTTGATTCACCACCGCCAGCAATTGAAGTCCATATGAACTTTAATTTAAATGACGAGTTCAACATTCTACTTGTACATCCTCTTGAGTTTGCAAGACAGTTAACACTTATTGAATTTGAAAATTATAAAGCTGTTAAACCTTCAGAGTTGGTTGGATCTGTATGGACTAAAAAGGGTAAAGAAAAAAATTCTCCAAATTTACTTCGGCTTATCAAACGTACTACACATTTTAGTCGTTGGATAGAGAAAGCTATTGTTGAATGTGGAAATATTGAAGAGAGAGTAGCAACTGTGTCAAGATTTATTGAAGTAATGATGGCATTATATCAACTTAATAATTTCAATGGTGTCTTAGGTGTTTTTTCAGCTATGAGTTCAGCTGCAATATATCGCCTCAAATTTACAATGCAATCTATCAATACTAAATTTGAAAAAGCTCTAGACAAAGCTCGGGAGATGAGTAGTGATCATTATAAAAAATATCAAGATAAATTAAGAAGCATTAACCCTCCATGCGTACCATTCATTGGTATGTATTTAACTAATATATTGCATATTGAAGAAGGTAATCCAGATTGTTTGACTAACAACCCAAATTTAATTAATTTAAATAAACGGAGAAAAGTGGCAGAAATTATTGGAGAAATCCAGCAGTATCAAAATAAACCTTACTGTTTAAATGTCGAGCCTAAAATTAAAATGTTTTTAGAGAACTTAAATCCATTCAACGATATGAAAGATACGGATATAAGTAACTATTTGTATAATGAATCTTTAAAAATTGAACCAAGAAATTGCAAACAACTTACTAAGTTTCCACGAAAATGGCCACATTTAAATCTCAAGTCACCTGGCTTAAAGCCTAAGTCACGAATGCCATCAGTATCCTCCAAAGACATGGATGTTCAAGGTAAAAGAAATTTAAGTTCATCAAGTTCTCCAGTTATTCAATTAGATAAAATAAGTCCAGATGATTCTGTCTTTGCACCAGTAACATTTAATTTGAGAAAAAAAAATGATATTCCTCCAGTTCCACCTCGACTGAGTAAAATAGATGATGATCCATTCAAACCACCTTTACCATCAAGAAAAATAGCTCCACCTTTACCTCCAAGAAGATCACGAGTAGAAAAAGTTTTGACTTTTAAGAAATTTGTTATGCACTCGCCCAATCCAGAAATTAATCAAAATTTCAACTGTAACGAAAATCATGTACCAGTAACTAGTGGTAGTGAAAATTCTATTGAACCGAAAACAAATACAGTAAATTTTCCCGAACAAGACAATACTTTTGAACTTTACCATCATTCTTCAGATCAGAACTTCTATAATACTCTAGATTTTCATTAAAACTGTTTTATTAAAAAAAAAGACTCCTTTTATGTTCCAATTTCTATGTCTGAATGCCAAAGACTATTTTTTATAAGCAATATAAATCAGTTTATCAAGAAACTGTTATAAACTAATTGCCACTTTCTCATTAAATTTTATAAACGTATCCAGACAAATTATATTTTAGTGAACTTAAGTATTGACTAATAGTATTTTTTACAAACTTGTAATATGTATTATTTGTATTGCTAAAATTCTGGATACAATTATATAGGTGCTTGAGCTTTATTTCTATAGCTTTCACACATTTTTCTCTTCAAAATTATCAAATACTTTTTTTTTATTTCCACTGATGTTAATTCTTCTCCTGCTACTTTTTATACTTTTATTTAATGAGTTAGTCCATTTGATTTGGGCTGTATTGTCTTGTCAATGTAATTTTTACATTTGTAATTCCATAAAACCAACATTTGGTCCGATATTGAATAATATTATATTGAAATTATTATTGAAAACAAATTGCAGATTGTCTGTGATAACTGATTACCTATGTATACTGTGACCTGCATATTTTTTTATTCTTACAAAGTCACAAACTATACAGATTAACAAATTTTGTAATACCTATTAATTGTAATATTGTGAAAGTATATAGCTAAAACGTAACCAATAAAATATGTATATATTACATATATTTTATGTTTATTATTATATAATATAAACACTTAAACATTATTTTTACTGTTAACAGTATCTTTTCATAAGATATTATTGTACTATAAAAATATATAATTTGTATTTAACAATTAACATTGATTTATTCATATACATTTTTCATTAAATATGTGATTTGTATCTTGATCAAAATCCACAGCATGTGTTAATAATATATTGAAATTCATATAGTGTGTCATGTATGATCACATATTATGAATAGATATTTGTGGAGCTTAAAAAAACTGATGATTGTAACATTTATACAAGATTTATATTCTATTATCCACAATAGAATATCATTATTTTTAAAAATTAAATGTGTTTATGATTTATGTTTAGTTTTAATACCTACTGTTTGTTGTTTGATAAACACGATAATATGATAACATTGTTGGATAGAGTATAGAGTTATTATATTTGTATTTAATAATCCATACTAAATTGTGATATTTTATTGAATGAATATGTATTATTTTTTTTCATCTGATAATGTAATATATTTTAGTCGTACAATGTATAGGTTCTTCTAGCCATAATTGTTGTAGTATAGACTACAACAATAATAGTAAATATCTGTTTAATTAAACAGGTAATTGTGTGAATTATTTTATGAAATAAATGTTGATTTTACTATTTAAAACCGTTATTAGTTTAAAATGCTGCCTATCTACATCTGTAATCTACTTTTTACTGTTGTCTTACATTATACTCTATGTTTTGGTTTTAAAATTATTCCAATGAAATGGGAGGCAATTAATAAGACAATTGAATATAATAACAGTAGCTATTTTCCATTTTTTTATTTATTATAATTCATGTTATTGATGTGTACTAGTTGCCTACTACTAATGGCTGTTTGTGAAGTATTCACAGTTTGGACTGGGCAATAGCATATATGATCTTAATCATATGGAACTAGGGGTACAAATATGTAGGTAAGTATTCAAAAGTTTAGGTGTCTCTATAGTGTACACCATACGAGTGCTTCAGTTTTTTAATTTGTCGTTCACTTGCTGCAACCATAAGAATATATTATTAAATTGATCAATGAGGTTAAGATCAATTTCTGTAATCGCTGAAGATTTCTCTACTTTACTCGAAAAAGTTCAAGCATTAGTTTTATAGTTTGTGGTGCCATGATCTACAAAAATAACTTTAAAAAAAAAAATCAATAATATGTCAGAACAATTAATTATGTTACTAATGCAATACAAAATCAACTAAAAAGCCCAATAATTCTGAATGTAATATCTTCTATATCAAACTTTGGTATTTTAATTAGGTATATCAATACTGGTTTAGATGATGTCTGACAAGAAAGTATTCTCTCTCCAATTAAGTTAAGTTGATTTTCGCTACTTATGTCTCTTGTATTTTCAATATTCTAATCATCATTCTGCATTTATAGTTAAAACATTCATAATTAAAATAATAAACACAAAAGTACTTAAATACTTTAATAGTTTAATCAATGATGAAATCCAACAAGATTATAAAATTATTTTATACATTTGTTTACCAAATGGTCAAAAACTAAAATAGAATAATCAAATTCATTATTAGGATATAATTACCTACAAAAATAATATCAAATTCAATTCAGCAGTAATTCTATGAATGAATAAAATATAATAATAAATAATTAATAACTATTAATTGATAATAATTAATGAGTAGGTATACAACATGTATTGGCTACTTTGCAAATGGATATATTTTTATTTTCTGTATAATACAATTATAGCTTTTCTGTTTACAATATATTCTGTGAATATTCAATAATATAATCTTTATTAATCATTATATTTATAAGTATAATTTGATACTTTTGGTTATCATTGTTATTATTATATTTTATAAAATACATTTTTAGCTTTCGTGGAGGGTGTCAACTAGGCCAGTTCCAATATCTATATGTTCTTACCTAGACATTAAAACAATACAATTGTATTAATCCTTATAATATTCCTGTCATTTTGTAAATAGTAAACAGTACAATATATGAAGAATACCTTCAAAAAATCATATCCAGGCATTTGAAATTAAAAAATCAAATTTGAAACTGGATTGAGGTACATTTAGCTTATTTCTTTAATTTTATTAAAATCATTAAAACTTTTTAGTGCTTCCACAATTATGGCACAATTTACTTATCTAGTCGTTAAGTTACATACCAAAATACATTTTAAAATGTTTGATATGAAATTATGATAGTTTGATCATTACACGAATATTTCTTTTCCATCCTTCATTAAAAATATTATTGTATTTTTAAATATTTATTTCGCAGAGTTGCAATATCCAATAACATTTTGGTCAATAATTGATTATTAATTTTAGTTCTAGTAGCATCAACTTTTCTCGATGTACTTCAACTTACTGTTTCCTTTTAAGAAATAAATTTAATATTATGAAGAAAAAAATGTGGACCATGTTTAAGGGTTTTTTTGTCTTTCAAACAATACAACTCGAATACTGGATAAATATTTATATTGTCATTTATGGATTATAATTATCATCAAGTATTAAATGTAGTGTAATTTATTTTGAAAATTTACCAAAGTCAACTGTATCTCTTCAGGTAATTTAAAAATTTTATAAAAATATACTGAATTTATTTTAATTGATTTTCGTTCATGAATTTTTATTTAGATGAGTGAATGTTCAAAATGCAACATACATTGTACAGAATATAGTTAAATTATCTCAACTTGGCATTTAATAAATTTTTTTGTTCCATATAAATTTTTTTAATGAATTTTCTAAATTTTGAAACTAAATGCATGCATATTTCTTACATTTTTAGTGCATGTAATTCTGGACCCTAATAATAACTATACATTTTTATGTTCATTAAATTACATACATTTCTTAAGAGAACGCTACACCCACTTTTGTTGTGCCTATCTTACAAATATGTAATATGGAAAATTTGCGCTAAACAATCCCAAGCTTAGTTGTATTAGCTTAAAAATTAGAGTGAATCAACCTATTTCCAAAATTATAAAGATTAATATTTTTGATAGTTTAACATATCAACTTTATATTTTATTATTTAACTTCATATTAAACTTTAAAAAAAAATTGTTTTATTTAAATAAATATTAAATTGTTTTGAGACAATATTTAGACACATACCCTCAAAAATACTATACTCTTTAATTTTTATAATAGGTAATTTTACTCTAAGAAAAATATAAAAAAAATTATTTTGCTTCAATACTTTTGTCTATTAAAATCTTAAAACCATATCATATAAAATTAAATCAGACTAAACAGTAAACACGTATTTGAATTAATTTTGAACAGTATATTCCAACAATTATATAACTATTATATTTTGAAGTTTTTTTAACAGCAAAAAATTATGATTTATATTTATTAATTTACATTTTTATTTAATCTTTGATGTAGATATGGTTACAATTTTGTTAAAACAAAAGGTTTGAAATATTTATTACTAGTTGTAAATATGTTCAATAAGGAAATACATGAGGTATGATATGAAAATGATTTTATAATATGTATATGTATCATACCTATTAACATTTTTAAACAAAATATGCTGAGACAAGTTACCACTGGGTAACCTCCTTAATCATAAGATCCATCGCTAGTTATGTTACTTATCAAACCTAATCATTGTACAAAACCGTTCCTATAGATAAATGACGTTAGTTTAATGAAAAAAAAACATAACAAAAATAATGGCATACATTTAAAGTTTTCAGTGTTGGTAATTATATTATTATTAAGGAGGTTATTTATATAATAATAATATGTCAACACTCACTGATTGGAACTATATTAAAGAATAATATTTGGTGGAAAATTATATAATGTGAAATTATACATAGTACAACCAAATTTAAAATTCATTATCAACAAAGAATTTGATAAATTTCTGGCTACATGGATGTGTCCAACTTTCCATTTAAAATTAAATAAAATTAAAGTTTTTATAATGATGAATGAAAGTATTAAATCTTAATAACTTTAACAAAAGATTACTTGATTGACACTTTACGTATTATATTATATATGAATTGCATACATTCTTTTAAAAAAATAGTTTAAAGAACAAAAATAAAATATAAAATATGGGATGCCAAAACGGTGGCTCATGTTTTACCGTGAGACGCAAAACATGTTTACTAATAATTTTTTTTATATAGATATAACCTAATGTATTATATTTACAATATAATAAAAATGCTATATTTTACACCTGCACCTATTTTGAGCAGCCTGAATCTCGTAGCCTAAAGTAGATTCTGTGTAAACTATGAGATCTAATAATTAGTATGTTTATTTAGTTTTATTGCATTGCCTATAATTTGCTTTTCATTAAATCAGAACCAGCAGGAAATTTTGTTGCTTAATAAACTGTGATTTGTTTTATAATGATGTTTTTTTTAAGTCACTGACCTTTAACTGTGACGATGGGGATTGACATACATTTGAGACAAGATGGTTTCTATTTTTTTCATGGACATGCTTATATATGTCTATGGTTTAGGTGAAAAATAACTCTTTTTCCCAGTCCAATTTGAATTCTCCATGTTTTTCTTCATACTAGCGTTTCTTATCTATAAAGCCATCACTCAGGATAGCATGACAAAATATAACTATTTTGTCATGCATGGTAGGTACCACATAATTTGAATGAAATAAATAACATTACACCGTTACAAAAATAAATACCATAACATAAAGAAGTCTATAATAATTATCAATAACGAATCTAAAGAAAACGATAAAATAAATGCACACAAAAAATGTAGGCTATATTATTACCAAATCGGTTGCATATGATGCTGACAAAACAACAATTAAAAAAAAAATTATATACAACACAGATGGTACCCTGATTAACATATCTCATGAATTCGATCTTTTACAATACAGACAAGTTATAATACTATTAGAATAATTTATAAATTT